ATTTTCTGGATTTTCTTTTTCTCATTTTGTCTCTCATAGTTGAGGTATATCTATGATGAAAATTACCGGCCTCTCTCATCTTTTTAAGTGGGAGAACTTGCACTACTAATGGCTGACTAAATACTTTTTTGCCCCACTGTATACCTGTACCCGCATCTGTGAAATAATATGGAGTTTTTTTCTATCCGTTGATGTACCCTTTATACAGGTACCCGTCAGTACTCGACCCGATGCAGGACTGTTCTGTCCCATCTAGGTAGAGAAAATGGTTGGAGAAGTTGTCTTTTTATTCCAACATGCTATAATGTTTTGGTTGGAGTTTAGTTGTTCTGCATTTTTTCAAGCCACATATCACACGCTCTCAGATGCCTAAAACAATCTGGTCCAGCTTGTTTAGCTAAAAGAGCCCAGAAAGAAGCACGGCAGTTTGCCTGTGATCAAAAAATATGAAACTGAACCCTCCTTTGATCTGTGTGTCTCCTACAATTTTAGCCTTATCATTGCAATTAATAGCCTTTTTTTCCACATCAGCTCCTGCTGTATTATGAAGAGATGAAATAGGAAGAAAGAGATTGGAGGGGCAAAGCAACGCAGGGTAGAGGCAAAGTGAAATTTAGAAGAAGACAGCAAAAAGACAAAGATGAAAAGCGAGTGAGGTAGGGGCGAGCTGAATAAGAGAGGGGCAAAGTGCCTCACTTGTGTCGGCAGGCTGCAGACCCCCTCTGTCAGCCAAGTTCATCAGAGCCGTGTGATCTGAATGAGATTTATTAATCTCTGCAGGGAGCATGTGTGTGGGTAGCTGCTGAACTGCCTGCATACATGTAAGCGTGTGAGCAGGGTTTAAATCTACCCGGAGAGGGCTTTTGGCAAGCTTTCCTCTGATATATACCATACTTAGATTGCGACAGCCTTCTTGTTAGGCTGTCACACCAGAGAGTGAAGTCCCAAGTCTGCGTCGCTGCCTGTGACTGTGTTTTTTCATGACACCTTATTATAGTTTTTTTTATATACAATCTTATACTACACAGCCATAAAGTACACACCCACTAGCAAGGATAGATCGTAGCTTTCTATCCAGTGTGCTTCTTAAAATTTGAATGGTTCCAGATCTGTATCCTGATATATATTTTCAGTGAAGACTTCATCCTGAATTTTATATTATCTCATTTTATTAGGGTATGCGTTGGAGTGTGTGTATCTTAGTTAAAGAAGAGAGTGTGTGTTTGCGTAGCTGGCCTCCTTACTGACCTACATGAAGGATCAGTGGCAGCTGGATGTTATGGAGAAATTAAAAATGTGGCCTGGGACAGAGCCTGACGAAAGACAGTATGGTTTAAACCTTCTGGAATATTTGAAGTAAAAAAAACGGAAGAAATAGACAGTAGGGGAGAAGGAGAAGAAATGAGCTAAAAGAAACATTATGCTCACCTTAAACGGTCCAAACTACTATTTAAGTCATTGCCAAATTAACCTTAAACTAATAAAAAAAAAACCTTAACAACTAATTTCTTGATGTCGTTGCATAGAATAGTGAAATTATTTGCTGCAGTCGTCTGAGGTTTTCCGAAAATGTGGAAGTTTCCATCTGTGGAAGAACCATGTTGTTATTGTCTTCCCTAGACTTCAGTGTTATTTTTTTACTATAACAGTGGTTTCATTATTGTTTGATTAATAACTGGTCCACCAGTTAGATCTCTCCAAACTCATCAACCCAAAAGGCCAAAACCATGTTTTTTTGTGACACGTTTAAACTGCTCAAAAAAAAAAAGAAAAAAAAAAGAGATGTATGTTTACCTATAGATATTTTAATAATATGACTACTAATAGTTATAGATTTTTTTTTTGTCCATTTTCAGCAACAAGGTAGGGATATGGATAGAATAATGAATAGGTTATCCATGTCTGCAACATCTAGCCAGGAACATAAACATCAGTTTATGTTTTTCTTTTGTTTACAGCAAAATTAAACTAAGGCCAAGATCTGCATTATTAAATGTGTTGGCTGACATCAACTGCCTGTGCCGGTACCTGAAATTTGTACCCGTTTTTATTCCTGGAGATGGTTCACAGAAAATGCAGATGGCCTTTGGACTGCAATTTGGATACTCCTGCCACAAATTATCACTCTCAAATCGTAATGGAAAGGGGGCTATAGATGATTTTCAGGTGTTTCTGTGCGTCTGGGGAAACAACAAAACAAATACATAAAGGTATGGCACAGTGAGGGAAAGATAACCCCTCAGGTCAGGACACAGTAGTCCACCTGCTTTTCATTGGCTAGAGACACACATTTCAGGATAGTGACACATGCTGCACAAAACAAAAGCAACAGAAAAAACCCTAGTGCGAGGACCATAGGAAGCCATTTCTTAGCTAAGGAAGAGGTCTGGTGTTCCACTGTAGGTCAACTTAAAACGCAGCACTAAAACTCCTCCTAAAGATATTTACAGGCGTTTCAAACCTTCCTTTATGTGAACAAGGTTGAAAGACTCATGAGACAAAGAAGGCAGACATCATGAGAGGGATGAACAGCTCAAATTTGAAAATTTGATTGCAAATTGAATCCAGACGTTGTTTTATTTATTTTTATGGAACTAGTGCCTTGTTTTTTTTAACAGTAGGCTGACAGAGAGGGGGAGAGACATATGGGAAAGGACCACAGGCCGGACTGGAACTCGGGTCCCTGCGTCAAGGACTAACGCCTCCGTACATGGGTCGGGTTCCCTAACCACTGCGCCACCAAATTCCCTAGTTCAGCTAATTCAAACAGTAAATATTTTAGGGAGTTATTTGTTTGATTTAGTTTTATTTTTCCTACCAAGACATGGATGGCTGAGAATCTACACCAACATATCGAAGCTTTTATTCATTTACTTTGTTAAATCCAGGTGGTGATGTTTTTGGACAGGCAGCATATCCTTTCTAATACATGTATTTGATGTCTGTATTTCAAAGTCAAAGAGATTGAAACATATGGTGTTGTGATTATTTTTTTCATGCACTGTTATACCGAAGGCTTGCTAACATTACTGAAAAAAAGCATTCATTCCTTCTGCTCTTTATGTAAACCAGCGTAAAAAAAAAATATATACAAAGCAGCTTTACAAGAGCTGGGGATCAGTTTGTCTTTTGAGGATTTCTGTTTTTTGTCTTTTGTCTTGATTCTAAATCAAAGTTTGTCCTGCCTGGAAACCCTGAAAAAAAATTGTCCAAGCCTCTGTTGTAATGTCTGAATTATCAGCATATGGTAAGTCTGATACCAGCGACGCATTGATCCAAAGCCATCTGGCATGTAGTTGATTCTTGTTTTGATTGTATTGCCATACAAAGGCTCTCTTGATCAGAGCCTAGAGTTACTCTGCATTTTCCTGCATAGATAATTAAGGTCTCTACATATGCTCTAATGTATAAAGTTTGTTCCAGGCAAGCAATCAGCTCAGCTAGGAAGCAACTTTCCAGCTTATCAGGCAATTTTATGCAACCCAAGCAGTTTTTACTGTATTCATTTTGGGTTTTTAGCTATTTTTACAAAGTCTTTTTTTATGTCCTTTTTAGCCATGTCTCTACTATATTAGTAAAGTTTAACTTGATATAACAGATAAATGCTTCCTTTTCATGTATTTTTTAATGCATTTCTTAATTTTTTTTACCTTTATTTTGTACAAATACAAAATATAAATACAATCAAAGTAATAGATAACATAGAAAATGTCTTCCGATGTAAAAAAAGAAAAACAAGACTTCATACCTTGAGTGCCTGTTAATGGTAGAGTGTTAAACCTGTTATGTTGACATAGGATGAAGTAAGGAATGGTCTTTAGAGCCATTTTAATTTAGCCGTCTGGGGAACAACAAAACAAATACATAAACAAATTGAACAGTGAGGGAAAGATGACCGCTCAGGTCCGGACATAGCTGTCCACCTGCATTCCATAGGATTAAGACACACATTTAAAGATAGTGACGTTCACATGCTGCACAGGTTTGTTAAATCATTCTTCCTCCTATAATGCAAAATTTATTTTATAAGCAATTAAATAAATGTACATTTAGTTGTAGACTAGGAAAGTGCGTAAAAATGTATTTAATCTCTACACTTGATGTGTTCATATATTTAGATGCCATCTGTGTTACATGTTTCAGTCCGTACAGTTTTCTTCATTCTCTGTTAGGTTTGGTGGGTCATTATGTCTATGTGATTTTCATTACATAACTTGTGGATCAATTTGAAAGATAACTAAGCAACAAGCAGTTAAATGTAGACATTTGGTTGTTGGTTGTTTTAACCCACACAAGTCATGTCACCATCTCCCAGCATCAGTACATCTTCCTATTTTTTTCCATGGAAATGTACATAAATGAGCGAGGAAAGTCCTTTTTGGTAATGCAATATACTTATGAAAAAAGATTTGCTGAAATACTTTGTCTAAGGGGTTAGTTCCTGCTGTCTATAGAAACAACAGACACAACAAGGCAGTAAGCTGCTGACAGGGCTACAATGACAAGAAGCTTAACTATAGACTTGTTAATTAATACTGCCAATTCATGATAGCATAGCATCTTGGCCTCTACTTATGTTAGCATTGTGCACTCACTTTTAAATCTTAAAAAAATAACATTACTGTGTACTTTGAATAGTATTAATTTTTCAAAGTTGTGATTTCTAACTCAATAACTAGGTTGGGGTCTTGTATTAAAGAATCAATAATCTTTATTCTCACTATGGATTAACTATCAAATTGTTGTTAAGACACTTAGATCAGAGTATAACTATATAGAACACAGACAAAATTAAAGATGCTTTGAGAGGAATGAAAATCCTTAGAAGCCTTTAGGGGGTGGAGTGGAAAGCTCTGCAGCCTGGAGGGGGGGCGGGGTGCGAAGGGCCTTATTTGAAATTAAAGAGATCACATCAAAACGATCATAGGAAATTGGTAAGATGGACACCTGATGAGCTACATTTATGATAAATTTAGGCCAAATAATCACAGCTCCACATCATTTAGACCAAAAATGAATTATTTAAAAAGGAAAAGGAAGGATTTAAAAGTATATGGGTCGTTAAACACGTCTTTAAAAAACATTTTCAAAGTGGAAGTGTCAGTGGTGAGAGGGTATATATATTCATTTTACATGTTCTGTATTCTTCAAGTTAAAATGTCAAGTCAAATGACATTGTGTATGTAGCATCCCAAAATTTCCCACCATCAAACACTGAACACTGGTTAAACATTACAGTAGGAAACACATTCTAGCACAATATTTATTAGCTCAAAACATTTTAAACCATTACAATTAAGGCTAAATGTGGACCAGAGTTTATCGTTCTGCCACGCTGTCAGGAGGAGGGTGGAGGAGGTGAGAAGCCCCCAAAGCTTATTTTGGAGAGTTTGTGGACAGGGTGACATCAAGTCTCCATAACAGCTTTTTTTTTTAGGATCACAAGCTTGCTTTAAAGGATATGAAAAAAACAAGAAAATCACACAGCTGATTTGTAATATATTTACCTCCTTTGTATATAGTTTTTTAATAAAAAAAAAGAGCAAGACATAGCAACAAGACTCTTGGCAAAAATTAAACCTCCTTTACATGAAAGGTCATAACTACAACTTTTTCATTAAAACAATGAATTTCTCAAATATAATACATCCTACAAATACTAGAAAGATGTAAAGAAAAAACTAAACATTTGATTGAAAAACAAAATCTATGGGATATTGTTTAAGGAATTTTGATGGGTCCAAAATCTATCAATATTTACTTTAAGGTGCTATGCCAATGTCAAAAAAGAAGAGAAATATTTTGCACCAATAAGAATAGTAGGTTGTAGTCGGAATAGATGGAGCTTAAAGTCGTAGGGAAGTGGCTGTTTCAACCATTGCATTTCCAAATTCTCCCGACTTTACACGAGTGAATAAAGTGAATGTAATTGGTCATTGGTTTTTGCGGAAGCAAGTTTCGTTTTGGCCGGTTTATAGGAAGCATCTTGCTAACCAGTTAGCAACTTAGTGCTAGTAGATTCCCAATGGGAAATTACATTGGGACCAAGTAGCACTTAGCAACCACACTAGCATGGAAGAGGAGAGTTTTGTGTCAGAGGTCATGGATGAGTTTCCTTGAACAATACATGTTTTATTTAGAGGAGAAAGGGGGGATGAAGATATTGTGAAAGAGGACGCCAGGGAGGCAAAAGCTTGGTTTGGTGTAGCAGGCTTACAGCCGTACATGTTTGAGCCCTTGCCTCGCAGCACTGCCTGTTCTGTTAGCTCTACGCCTGCTGATGACACAGACGTCCATCCCCGTGAACACCGGGATGGAACTCAATGGTAATGTAAATGATTCTTATTTCCTATTTCAACCGTTGTGTATATTAGCTGCGACATATGAATCAAAATAATATGACCAAAAAAATATGATTAACAGATGACCGTTGACATGATTGGCTGAATTTATGTGTACAGGCTGACGTATAACTGGCCTGCATAAATACAATATTGTCTGATAAAGAGTGCATTTATATACAGCCAGAATAAAGTTAAGGGGTTACAAAATTTAATAACACAGAGAAAAAATGACTGAATATGCTTCCTAGAATTCTTTAGGAAAAAAACAAAAATATTTTCTGACAGTGACCTGTTTAGAAATGAGTCACATGGATTGCTCAGGTGGTATTTTGTCTTATTCTTCTACACAAACTGCTTTCAAACCTAAAAAGTTCAGTCCTTTTGATGCAGTTTGTTCTTCAGTCTTTTTTCATAGATTCACAATTGGTTACACTTCAAGTGCTTGAATGGGCAGCTCTAGCAGTTTGACTTTCATTCTGTGAAACCATTTAAGAGCTTCCTTGGCTGTGCGTGTGGGCCTACAATACCTAAATATCTGCACTGGTTTAATGTGAGGATTCTTCTCAAGAATCTCTCAATCAATCTGTTATTTTGGTGATCATTTTATGACAGTGGTCCCATTAGAAACATTACATTCAAATATGGCCATGCCTAGTTTTGTTTTCCACTATGTATGCCATGCACAGCAGTCCACACCATTCGCCAATTAACTTCACTGTTGCTGTCTTAGCAACATTTTTGCAAGATTTGCCATCCTGCCGATGGGATACAGTTGCCAGCACCGCCATGTGAAAACAAGGTCTCAATCCCTTGACATCAGCTCTCCCTACTTCTCTCGCTGTGTCTGGCAGAGATGGGCTTTTAGCAACAAAGTGAACTATCTTGCCCTGAGACTGAGCCTGCATCAGAGTAAAAAAAAAAAAAACGCTCAAAAAGACAGTATGCCACCTTCATCTTTCCTTTTGAAATTACTTTTTGCAAATAAAAATCAACAGCCATATTAAATGTGCTCTGTGTATAATAATTTTGGCAAAGTAACAGATACGCTATAATTCCAATTATTTGAAGGTTTGATGCTTTTTTAGCTCTTCTCATTTGATTCAGAGAAGAAGTCAGAGTTTAAAGAGCAGAAGGGAGCAACAGCAGCTGAAGAGTTTGAGATTTGGAAGGATACAGAGGTGTGTATGTACACATAAAGAAAGGAGCATGAGTAAGACGGTGGGAGGCAGAGGTAACCTTTGACAGTGCTGAAGGAACAGGAAACATAAATATAAAGGCATATTGCATGAGAAGAGGAAAAATATGTGGGGGGGAAGTCACAATGCTGAGAACAATACACAGTACTTGACATAATGAAAAAGGGAAGAGAAACGGAATAAGGAACAAGGTGTCTGGTGAATTCGTGAGAGCTAGAGTTGTCATTTATAAAAGAAATCCAGTATTGCATAAATTCAGATTGGTGAAAACGAAGGAGGTGTTGGTACGAGGAAGGAGGTAGAGAGCAACTGTGTAAAGGTTGAAGAGAATGAATTAAATGAGGAATGAGAGATGGAGAGTTTGTTCTGGCACTCCAGAAGACAATTCTCTGAGTGTAAAAATAATCTACGGTAGCCACCTGAGAGGCTGCTGTGTCACAGTGCGCCCTAGTTTAATTTAAACCCAACACATATGACACGGCTTCTTTTCTTTTTAAACCAGATTTTTGTCCCAGTTAAAGTTCTCTACTGTATTTTAGATGAACTAAAAG